AAGCACAAGATAATTAGAGTGCGGACCATTTTCATTTATATAGTGCTCTGTGAACACAACTTAGTTAGCATAAATCAGTTAAATGACGAAAAATTAGGTGTCTATTTACTTGTGACCACTCAGTGTATATCACTCTTATGGTGCATAGCGTTTGTTCCATTATATGGACTTCCTGAAGAACATTCTTCAAATATATAATATCGTAGAGTATAATAAAACTTCTTAACTATTTTATTTTCAACTTGATTCAAACACAAGCCAAAAGTTAACATATATATATATACACATGTATATATATATATAGAGAGAGAGAGAGACTATTTCAAAGCATTCGAATAAGAAGCCTTCTTCAGTAGATTGTGCATAGAAGTACTGTATATAGTGATAAACGTAAAGTTCAGTTTAGAGCAGACATTCCGAACCTGGGGTACATTTGCACTTCTCAGAGGGTACATATGGGTCTGAGAGTATAACCATGGTTTACACTTTACATGGTGTTTTAATTTACAGTCAGAAAACGATAGCAAAGTGGTTCAAATAAATATACGCTCTTTAGACAAAAAGTTGTGATCATGGTGAACGTTGTAATGTTATTGCTGTGCTACATTATAACTCATGTTTTCAATAAGTAATGTAGAACATAAGCAATATAGAACACCCTCGTTACAAATCAGCTGATAAACTAGGGATCAGCCAACTGGACAAGTTCTCCTCCCTCCATTAGTGCTTTCGGAAAGAATGCCCAAGGGGTACCGGGGAACTAAAAGGTTGGGAATCCCTGGGTTAGAGTAATTTCTCTTTGTCATCTGGTTTTACTTATTTTTAGTTAACGTAATCGGATTTTTAATAGGCCAAGCAAAGGGAAATCACTAGCCTACTAAGACTTGGTATTACGTCTGCAACAACAAATAAGTTCACACGTTTGTTATTAGGCCTTGCTCTGCTCGAAACAAGTAAGTTTAAACATTTAATATCTAGGTACAATTTAACCTGATAAGCATTCAGGTGATTTCGTGCGTGATTTTTGCGTGTGACATTTGTTTCCGCTGTAAATGACCCTTTACTTGGTATTGAGATTAAATATTTATGTAAAATTAATCATTGATAATTTGTATTAGTATGCTAATTTATCAACTGAAGAATATAGCACACTAGACTATTGTATACTAGCGTTTAAAATCGAAATATTTTATTTCTTGCCTCCATCACTGTAACAGGTACTAAGTTTTATTACGTATGTATAAGCTACGCGTATAAATTTGCATTTTGATAACCACAGAAATGTCCTGTCCTAATTTGATTACACGAAATATGGTAATTGTGTCTGAAGCTTATGTTACTGTATCAATCAAATTAATCGATCAATGTATAATGTGTTACTTCATAATCTCTAAAGACCATTCTTGTGGCGGTTATGTAAAACTAAGTAAATCGGTCGATTGTAAGGCTCTATATACAATCCGGAGTATAAACCTTCATAGATGTAATATATTCATCATTTAAGTCTTAAGCTGTTCCCTCCCCCCCCCCTCCTTTTTATAACAATGTCCGCACGTGAGTAAAGTAGAAAATTAATTGCATAATCTCTTTCTTTTTCTTTCCTGATATATAAATGATCGTGACCAAATATTGTGGGCATCAAATTTTACGAACAACTTAATGAAGTAACTTTATCAAATTTTGGAAGCTACAGGTTTACTCATCAACCTCACGAAATAGCGAAAGAACAAATAGTGTGGACCGATAATAACAGTACCGTCGTATAAAAGGATACGTTCGTGATATAATTCTAAAACTTATAGTATTTCGTTATTATTAAAGTAACTCTTACCATGCCACTATTAATACTTTTTATTTTTCTTCCTTTACAGTTATTTCAATCGAAGCTGTCTTTCGGCAATAAGGTAAGTCATGGTTAGCTGTTTAATCAACAAATTTAAAACACACATATATATATCGTGTGTGTGTGTGTGCAGACTTTTTTTTTGGTTACCAAAATACGTTCATTAATTTAAACTTACGTATGTTTTTCTTGTTGGCTATTGGACTGTTTACAAAGCAAAGCTTGGTTAGAATTTGTTTTTATTTATGTTAAAATATCCTTCTTTTTTTTCGAAATGTTTAAAACAAAATAAATAATCGGACAGTTTCGTTGATTGTTAAAACGTTTCAAAAGAAACTAATGTCTTGTCGTCATTTTGGGAATGATTTTCGTTAGAAAGATAATGAAACACTTTGTGCTGCGTTTTACGATGTGGAAGAACCTATAAGAACCTAAATGTGACCCCCAGTGGCACAGCGGCCTGTCTGCGGATTTATACTGCTAGAAACCGGGTTTCGATACCCGTGGTTGGCAGAGCACAGATAGCCCTTTGTGTAGCTTTGTGCTTAAAAACAAACAACAACTTAAATGCCCCCAGTGGCACAGCGGTATGACTGCGGACTTACAACGCTAGAAACTGGGTTTCGATACCCGTGGTGGGCAGAGCACAGATAGTCCATTGTGTAGCTTTGTGCTTAATTGCAAATAAACAAGAACTTAAATATATCTATTTTAATTCAAGAACTCTCGTATTTTAAAAACTAGCAAAAACGCCGCCCTATTGGCGGCTGTTTGTTCTAGTAATTAATAATTGTAGTATTCATACATCATTGAATAAAATTTAGAAAAAGTGAATATTTTCCAAAAAAAGGATTTTTCTGGGAAGTACTGCACGAGAAAAGTGTTCGGATTGTGCTGATATAAACTGTAATGTTTTTATAGATTAAAAATGGTACACTTTATTGAAAAAATAAGTTTTAAGAACTCCATTTTTTAGTACTATGTTTACAAATTACGTCGATAAAGGTATAATCAAATCTTGATGTACAGTCCTAATGAAAGTCATGTTCTTATTGTGAGGAGAATACTTTTATTTAAAATTGTGTTCTGTGATAAAGAAATGGTTGTTGCACATACCGTAGTTATTTTTCTAATCGTCTGAATCTTGAATACCCAAGTAGTGAATTTTGTTTGTGGTGCCATTCCATAGATAGCGCCACATTGTGTTTATTATTTCGGTCACATATATAGATAGATACATATATACACGCTACGTCCATTACAGTTAAATAATGAAAAATTAGCTTTAATCGATGACACCAATAATCCGTAAGTTATGACTTTGTCATGACGTGTGTTTATTCTCCTTCTGCCTAGACTACTACATACATTAGTAGTTCGTAAGTTATGACTTTGTTGACATTTGTTTATTCTCCTTCAGTCTAGACTACTACATACACTAGTAGTTCGTAAGTTATGACTTTGTTGACATTTTCAAAGTCATAACTTACGAACTACTAGTGTATGTAGTAGTCTAGACTGAAGGAGAATAAACTCAATATTATATTTATTCTCCTTCAGCCTAGACTTCTTACACTACTTATCATGTTTTATCTTTTTTTGGTGCTTTTTAAATATTGTTTTCTATTCCTAAATATATATCTATTAACCATTTTATTGGAAAGATGTTATGAGCAAGATTAATATTGCAGAAATGTGGTACTTAACTCTTCTATTTTTTTTTCTAAATAGCTTCGTAACTTCAATGGGATTATTCTGGCAGATTAATGCAATATAATGGCTAGATTGAAACGTAATAATTTCAAATCATCTTGTTAAGTTAGATCTTGAAAGTCAATATACATTTGTAACCAGATACACGAGATGATGTGTAGTTAATGGTTATTCCAGGAAATTGTAGCCATTGGATGTTCTTGGTGCAAGATGGCCTTCCATAACAAAAGCTGCTGTTTCAGCATTGAAAAACTAAGCGAGCACTGTTCATTGGGAGTGCATGCAGATATAATCGTGCCTCCAACTTGGATTGTCAAACTTCCCAGAAAGGTAAACAATTCGAGTAACACCGAATGAAACAAAGTGTTACAAATTTTATTGTAACTCGATTTTTTCATCTCTTACGCGTAATTTATTGACCAAACGCGCTTAATATTTTTATTAGCATAAAGTTCGCTCGATTACAAAAGTTTACTAAATTATAAACTTCTCTGAATTATTTCAAACTGTATAATGTCCACTGGCACTTATTTGTTGTGCTATATTTTATACGGACGAGAAAATATATTATTATCAGTTTTATTACTACAAGGAAGACAATTTTTGGTGATATTCTTAGACTTTTTATATGTTAACGTTTTTTTCTTAATAAACAACCCCCACTGGCTTTTCAGTAAGCTTATAACGCTAAAATTCAGGGTTCGATACTCGCTGTGGCTGTTGGATTTTTTTATAAAAATATAGCTCAATTGAGATTTATTTTATTATTTTCACTGATCTTTATGTTTACGTTTCTTCTTGTTTCACCAACATACGCGTTTTCTTAACAATGGCAAGGTTAAAATTAGACAATTTGTTTACTGTCTTCTAGTGGTTTGGTTTGAATTTCGCGCCAAGCTACATGAGGGCTATCTGCGCTAGCCGTCCCTAATTTAGCAGTCATAGCCTACAGGGAAGAAATCTAGTCAACGCCATCCACCACCAACTCTTAGGCTACTCTTTTACCAACTAATAATGGGATTGACTGTTACTTATAACGTCCCCACAGCTAGACGAGCATGTTCGGTGATTGGGATTCTAACCTGCGACCCTCAAATTGCAAGTCGAGCGCCCTAACCACCAGGCCAATCTTCTAGTGTGGATTTATGTTTAAAGTTAGAATATTTCTCATGGTGTTAAGTTATATATAAATAACTTTAAGGCTATTTTTACCAGCATTTTTTCTAAGGTCTCTGTTTTCCCATTTGGTTGATACGAAGTGTTTTCGTATCTTCCACTGTTAGCGGACGTAAACTCTGAATCCCAGGCTTAATACCAAAAAAAAAAAAAAGAAATCATGTAAGGTCAGTGGGTGTGCAATAAGAGTGATAGTCAAATCCCACCATTCAGTCAGACAAGAGCAACCAAAGGCTTGGAAGTGGATGCTATTGGATAGTTGCTTTCCAGTCTATCAGCTCAAAATTAGAGATGGCTATACGCAGACAGCCTTTTTATAGCTTTCAGCGAAATTTTTAAAAAACAAATAATGTTCCGTTGTTGTTGTTTTGCCAGTTTAGCTTGTTGTTTCTAAGATTTTTCAATTTGGTTTTAGTTTGTCAGTAAATTGTACAGAATATAGTTTATTCCGTGGGCGTAGTCCTTCGTACTTGTAAAGTTACTAGTGAACTTTTTCTCGCAATTGGTAACAACATTATCCATTTAATGGATTGCAGGCCAACTTAGAATTTGGTGCTTTACAAATTTTATTGCACTTTGCCATTGATGAGTTGTATTTGCTCTTGGTGTGTGGGATTTATATATTGGAGTTAAACGAATAAACATCAAGCAAGTTAAGAAATTTAACTAAACAATCTGTATTTTTTTGCCGTTTTTGAAAAAGAAAACCTTAAGATGAGGCGTTAAAGTCACTTAATGTACTACAAGTTAGCGCACGCTGGAAGAAAGAAGTCCACAGTAAAACCTAATTAAAATATTTCATTGTTTAGAACTTTTATTTTGATTTACATATACGTGGCCACCAATCTGACGGCTAATATAACTGGTGCAGAACACCAGTGAGCTACTTGTTTTGTTTTGTTTTTATCAGCGTTATAAAGATAAAGTTTTAATATACTTTATTTACGAAAAACTCAACGTCATTAGTTACTTTAGCAACATGTAATTCTGTGACGTAATTGTGTTGAGTTTACATTCAGTGTATTAGCTTGCTGGATTTTTTTCACACTTATTGCAGCAAATGCACGTTATATGAAAACCAACGTGGCCTTGTGTGCATTTTTCATGGTATTTTGATATTGATAAATGTTCTTAGAAAATCATAAAAGAGTGTACAGTTCACTTTCAAATTATGGGTAAGAAAGTAAATGCATGGTCGTTTTCATATATTAAAATACATATCACGTGTACTCACTCGGTGTTTACCTAGTCTAACAAAACAACAAATACATGATGAAGTCCTAATGATCAATATATAACTACTATTTGATATTTTGATTTTAATAATCGTTTTTTTCACATATGTGTATATTATGTAGAGAAATAAGTTATTATATTCTTTTTTAACTGCATAACTGATAAAGATCGGTTGTTTAAAAATAATGATTTCTTGTTGTGTTGCAAGAAACCACTTTATAACGATCTTAGCTCTCCACCTTACAGCGCAACGGAAATCGCTGATATAACACGATGTAATTGACATTATTCAGAGCACAGCATATATGTAAAATGAGGTATCTGATTCTCAATCGTAATTTTGCATTGATTTCTTTATTTGTACATAAAATCTACTTTCGAACTGTTTGAGGTGGTGTAAAGTACAGTAATCAAATAATTAAAAAAGAACGCAAACAAAGAGGGGAAAATTCAATTTCCTAACAGCCAATTGCAATTTTTCTTTTTTTTATATCATACCAAGGCTTCTTACTCGGAAGAGTGTACGTACGCTTGTTTGATTCACGTTTATTGATGGGTGAATCTCTTCAAATGTTACTGTTAGATTCCTGGAACATCCATACTATAGATTCAGTAGTTCCAAACCAAAATTTACCAATATGAAATTTTCCAAGTTCATGTATCTTCAGTCAAGTGGAGCTCAACTACAAACTCGAAAGGTGGCCTTCCCGACAGATGACAACATGAGGTGTGGTAACAAAATCAGACAGTAAAACAACTGAGCCTAACAAAAACCATATTCTTTTATGCTTTCAGTCTTCATATTTCAAGAGTTGGTGTGTTGTGCTTACGCAATCCTGCCTCCCAGTGGCACAGCAGTATGTCTGCGGACTTACAACACTAGAAACTGGGTTTCGATACCCATGGTGTGCAAAGCACAGATAGACCATTTTGTACAAACGTTAAATCGATATATTTATTGCACAGTTAAGTAAATGAAATAAAAAAAAACTTTAACCGTTTCTCACCATAATGCCTACAAACACAGTTTGAAATTCAAAGTTTAGAAAAAATATCACAAGAAAATGATGGAAAGGGAGCAACGATATGAGGAATTTGCAAGAATTTTAATTAATTTCAATTAACTTTTCAATATTTAAACATTAATAAAAAAAGCATAAAAAGTAATACAAGATTTTCATTGTGGGGTGGGTTGACACGCGTGTCAATCTGCTCCAAGTAAAATATGTCAACAAGCCCCAAACCGCCATTCAGCTAGAAATGACTTGTGTATGCCGTCCCAGTCATAGTTATCAAACAAAATTATGTACTATCATATAGCCGAAAGAATGCACTTTAATATACTATGTAACTTAAAGTTTCTTAACAAAGTATATGATATAACATATAATATTTGCAGTAGAAAATATTTACTTACGTTTGTGAAAATATCAGTTTTTACTCCTGCAAACGACAGAACTTCTGATCACGATGAAATTACAATAGCATTTGAAACGTGTTTGAATGTGTCTGTGGCCATGATATCACGGTTACCAATTTCAACATATGAAAGTTATTGGCAATGTGTCAACCTGCTCCTGTGGCCAACCAGCCTCCGTCTCCCCTAACTCATATTATACAATACAATCTGAACTTCATGGTCTACAGAAAGCCACCCCACCCCCAACCTCCATGTCTGAAATTTTATTAAAAGACAAATTCAAGAAACCGTTCAATCATTATTTAAGGATAAATTGTGGGGGAATGCGCTCTAATACTCACTTCTAAATTCCAAAACGTATACGTTTGTTCATTTTGTTGCTACCCAATAAAAAAAAAACAACTGTGAATTTTGTATCTGTTAAAACTTTTCGTTTTCTTACTGCAAAGTACTAGCTTTTCAAAAGTTTGTCGCAAACCTAAAATATTTATTTCTGTTGTTTTTATGAGGCAGGAGCTCAGGATAATATCAGATTTACTAGAGATCAAACTGTTCTACATCCAGGTTTGAGATTGTAACAAATAGCTTTGAAAAACATGTTTGTGGTCTTTTACAACAAAATAGTTTATTCCGATCGACGACGGGTTTCAGAATGTGTATCGTGCAACATTAAAATAAATGAACGTTGTTTCCTATGCCAACGCACTTGTAGCTCTAGCTATTTTCACATTATGGTCGACCGTAATGCCCAGTAAAACATTTGATTGGATGACACTTCATTCTTTATTGAAGAGGTTCAAACAACTGTTCGTCTCTCTAACTGAAAGTATTCAGGCTGTCTGAAGCATAGCAGTGAGAGAAACGCCTGTATAATGGTCGTTCTAATTTCCAACATTGACTTCCTTGTGATGTGTATGTTCTTGCAGCTTATGAGCCTACTTATCTTAATTGTTTTTATGCCGATCGCCTCTAAAACTGTATAAATATATATACATATTTTATTCACAGTTAGTATACCTACATTACTTTAGATGAATATAAGAGAAGTCAAATACATTGGTATAAATGATAAGCTTCCGACATTCTTATCAATAAGCCTGAAGAAATAATACAAATCTAATGGAAAACAGGATACTTTTAATCAAATCTATAAAATTAAAAAAAAAAACGAAAACATTGAAGTAATTGAATATTAAACTAAATTACAAAAACTTCCGTTAGTCTTACGAACCACTTATCATTTTTAAGTTTATACAATTCATTATCAGTACAAAATCAAGCTGATTATGGTAAAGGTACGTATCTTGGCCTGCAAAGTAGAATTGACTAATTCTGTTTAAATATTATTAGATTATTTATTTTATTAAAACTGTTGACTTTTGATATAAATTCAAAAGTTGAAATTGTACTTAGAGTAATACTACATTCACTACATGACAATTATCATTAGTATTTTTTGAATCAGTATAACGGTTTTATAGACAAAGACTACAAATAGATTGAACAAATCTACAATGATCCATTACAAAAGAAGACGACGTACAACTACCAAAACCCAGAATATAGACAGATGAACTTAGAATAGGTATATGACTTCCGATCTGCGCAAAGAGCGAGTAGAACCCAGATTAACATAAGTATACATCTGCAATGCATTAAAATTTTAAAGCTAACTATGCATGTAGAGAAATCCGCAACAAACTTATAAATAAATGATGATGATTAGAAGTTTTGGCATAAGATAGGTGATTATTTTTGGACTAATTTCTAAGAAGTAATAAGTACACTATCGTCCTTCATAATTAATCAACGTAATGTCTTGTACTCTCGATTAAACTTTAAATAACTTTTAAATTTACACAAACTTGAACTAAATTACGTTATTGACTGAGTCAGGAAAGAAACAAAAAATTTTAATGTGACAAAATATTTAGTCTTAGTTATTATAAATTTTGAGTTTATTTTATTAAGCCATTAAATGGTTTCTTGAAACTTGAAAATCATTATCAAAGTTCATAAGTGTTGAGCAAATTAGACACGAGATTCATTTTTCACTTGGCTCTTACGAGCTCCTGGGTCGGATAAGAGATGTCAATGATTATCATTATCTAACCTATTATATATAAAAGCTAGTGTGTGTCACGTCACGCTTGATTTCTCGAAATAGGAGGAATCACAAAAGCCAAATTGCATTTATCCAGATAGAATAGTTCGATTACTGTCTCCTCATTACGATTTTAGTGACGGGGTGCAAGGGGCCGTGAAACCTTAAGTGTAGCGAGTGTTGGCATAATAAGCCTAAAGTAAAGACGTTATGTGGGATCACCTACCCTAGAACCAAGTGCATAAAATTTATCATGAAAGTAAAAATATCGATTCAGTTTTAAACTTAAATCGTTTCTGAAGTAAGCTATTTTCTGTTATATCACCAACGTTTTTAATAAAACAAAACAAGCCTCTTAAGTCAATGGAGACTCTAAATTAAGAAATCAACAAATATCTTTCCAGTTTTGTTGTCTATACATTTCATTTTACATTTCAGTACATAGACTAACATTGTTGGAACGTAGTGTTACCAAAACGCACTGGCTTTTCTATATATTAGAAGTTGTTAATCTAACTGATTCCTACCAATAATTATTTTATAAATACGCCACGAATTCATTTCGTGAATGATCTTAATTTTGATTGGCTCACAAAGGATGTTACCGACGTTTGACTGCCTCAACTGCACTTTTCTGCCTCTTTGCTGGTCAAGTTTGGTTTCGCATAATGTATTTATTTCAGTTAGCTATGAAATGTGAGGTTATGGTATACTATGGGGTAGGGGTACTAGTACTTGCCCCGTCATTTTTGACGGGCAATACGCCAGTATTGTAATATTAAACAGTTGGCTATATTAAGGGACAACCATAAAATAGATTAAATTTTTCATCAAATAACGCAAACTCTTGCAGTTAGTTGCAGCCAAAATGCCGTTAACAGTGAGGGTACTCATCTAATTATTCAATGCACAGTAATCAGTATAGATTTGTTAAGGTTTATTATACCCTGTATTTGTACTCAGTTTGCTATATAAAACTTGTTTCATTAACTTATAGGTTACTTTTATTGGTTCATATCTATATATATCAGCCATCCCGTAGTATTAAATTCATCAGTTTATATGAGTGTGAAAAAATATTGAAAATTCAAATTGTGGCTACTTTATGACAAATATTTGTTTATTGAAACAAGTTTTCTATAACGAAACTATCTCGTAAATCCAAAAGGTTCTAGCATGATTACTAGGTCAGTATGATGATGCGGATGCATGAAGTATAATTATATATATCTCACAACAAACTACAGACTAAGTTGGCTGCACTCAGTAAATATATCATCTTAAAGCTAGCGTGGTGTGTGATCTTATTTTAACTCTTTCTGAGCTTCATACTAATTCCAACCTTTAAAATCCAATAACTTTATCAATAGATTATCTTTTGTCTGTCATAAGTCATCGTCACGAAGCCTTTCAACAATTATCGAAACCGAACGCCGAGAAACAAAAGCTTATTTGCAATGCTGTTTATAAATACAGTAAAAACATCTTAAATATACAGTTTGGATGCTAAAGGTTTATTTTTTTGCAACAAATATTAGGCCTATAGCTTTCCAATTCTTCACCTTCCTTCGTTGTTCAAGCTGTAACTTTTGAAATTATTGCACTGCACATAAATAAATAGCGTTCCAGAAAAACTATTGACTCTCATCACTCAGTCCAGCTGTCGAATTCTGATGAAGAATAAGGGACCTTGTGAACAGTAAGTAACCTGAAGTAGACGAATATTAATCTGAGATGCTGTTTTTATAAAACTATGATCTGAAATCCGTAATGCACAAATTAAACGGAATACAGTCTAACGTACTTTTTATCACGTATATTAGGCCTATTGATTTCCAATGCTTAGCCACCTTTCGGCGCTAAAACACTAATATTAAAGTGAAAAACTGATTTTTATCACAAACACTTTATACCAAAAGAGCTAACACATTTTCTTTTTTAAGTCCAAAATATATGGAACATTGAGCCACTAGTTCTTTCCATCGTTTAATTCGCCTATATTTACTCTGTACCTCAATCTCTCTGCTCCATTTTACCTCAAAAGGTTAAATAACACTTAGTCACTAATCATTTCTCTCGTACTAATGTGTCTATATTTACCTTGTGGCGGACTCGATAATATGAACCGATTAACAAGACATCACATCACGTTTCAGGAAATATTGAAATAATTATTGTGAAAGGGTCTGCCATCATTAGTGGTTTCATAATTTGAAAACTTATAATCATGTGATATATTGCATTAGATACTTTTAATAATTGTCTGTAGTATTACGTAGTGATAATTTCTAAGTTTGTAGGCGGGTTTTAACACTAGCCCCCTATCCTAAATTACATATAACACGAGGTTTCTCTTGTTTAAAATCGTGTGAAATAATTAGTTTCTGTGTACGATCATCTTGACCTTATAAAAACATTATTAACAACATTACGAGAGTGGGTAAAAGAATGTTATACATAAGATATCCTAAAGTTATTAAAATATTCCACGCATAGAATTTTTACCTGAAATATAACATTTGTTAAATGCAGTTTTGCCTGTTGTTGCTTTTTATCGTAAATTCAAAACATTGTTAAAGACATTTTGGTGAAAATAGAAACGACATGAAAATTGTGAGAAAAAATAGGGGGTCTAATAAATTAAAATAATCTCTGTTTGTCTCATATTTAGAGTGAAACGGCATTGCCCAAAACTCAGCCACTCCAAAATCACAAAGTATATAATAAGGATATATATGCAATAGAATTCAGAGAAACAACCTATAGGAACGTATTGTTTCTCTAAATCACTATTTTAGTATTTCCTTTCCTACTTTAACCCGTTGAGTAATTGTTTTTACGTGTTTCATAAACTTCTGTAAATAGGACTATGAATCGGTACATTTTTTATACTGTTCAGTATACTAGCGTTGCGGGTATATCTAGTAAATTTGTCGTTTCTTATGTCTGCCCTCTACAGGGATCTTTCAAATCTTCACTGCGCAGGTCACCGAAAAAACGCTTATCTACAAAAAAGAGACTGAAAAAGGAGGTAGGATCTGAAGTTTTTTAACTACTCTTACAAGGTTTGCATATCGTATGGTTATTCCTTTAACAAATTATCACGAAATTCTTTCAAAAACAGCCTTTTGTTTTTTAAATGATAAATATTAATTAATTTTCCTGTCACTTCCTACATTTCTAGTTCTTACGGTTGGATATTATTATGAATTAAACAGAAATGTAACTATGAGAAATAAAATAGAGAAATTATCCTCTTGATAATTACACTACTCTGAAACATATCGATAAAATTAATCTGTATATAACCACCGTTTCCTGCAAGTAGGTAAAAGTAAATAAATATATATGTCACATTATTAAACAACGTATTTAAATCACATAATTTAAAATTGAAATTAATCACAATGAATAGTTGTGTCTCTGTCTTTCTTCATGTATATATATATATATGTGTGTATGTGTGTAGATAGATTGATTGATGTGTGTGTGTGTGTACGTAACTATTATACTAATTTCAGAGAAAATCAATACAGGGATTTAATGAATGAAATAGCACCAGGTGTCTCTACTTCAGGGTTAGGCCTAACCTTATCAGCACCGACGTGACTGCTTTCCAATAGAAATCGTTTGATAGATGAGACGCTGCGAAATAGGCTAATGACCAGCAGTGTTGAATGTGATAACCACACTTTACGTACCACTCAACTGGCACTAGCAGAAGAGATAGCATTCGTTAACACAACGTAAACCTTTAACGTCAGTAAATTTACTTCAGCCACGATAGATCTTGCTGGAAATATGTTATTTTATGTTGAATGGAAAGACTGTGCATTACACTTCATGTACAAATAACAGCTCACTACGATAGAATTCTACTGAATTGAAATTTATTAAGAAAAAATACCATAGTTTGGTTGTTATCATTGATATTTCAAGTTTTTTAAGTATAGCATAAACTATATTCGATCTAGAACAGCTTAGCTGTAATAGTATATAGTTAATTAATTGTAAGACTATAGTTAAAACGAACGAATAGTAACTTTAAAGGAAGTTTCTAAATTATTTCAGTAACTTACGGGCTACTATTTTCATTAAAAATTACTTTTTCTTTGCTTTTTAAATAATGTTAAAGGGGCGTAAGAGTTATTATTTAAAATAAATGAAATTATTTGAAAATTAATGGAGTTGAAGTAAAAACAAAGAAAAGGTATCTGTAAAATGGAAATTTTTCCACTCTTCAATTTTTTTAATATTCACTTATTGCGTTCACTTTATCCCACAAACGGCGAAAAACTATATAATGCACCCATAGAAATGTAACATTTGACATACCGTATATGCTGAGTGTTCATGTTCTACCTTTAGTCGTTATCTGATTCATCCGAAGTATATCGATGATTGTGGTATCTTCTTGGGCACCCAGAGGTACGAAAGTTGGTCTTATGAAACTGCCAGTGTCCCTTATGAAATTTGAATACCAGGAACGAATTTACTGTCAATGTGTATGCACAACACCTTACTACTATTACATCATCGTGACCAGGCATTACAAGGCTCATATAGGTGAATCATTCTAGGCCTGGCTCGTAACCTGTTGGTCGCGAGTTCGAATCCTATCACTGAGCATGCTCGCCCTTTCAACGGTGGGGGTGTTATAATGTGGGGGTCATTTCCACTTTTAGTTGGTAAAGAGTAGCTCAAGAATTGGCGGTGGGTGTTGTTGACTAGCTGCCTCTCCTCTAGCCTATCACCTCTAAATTAGGGACGGCTAACGCGGATAGCCCTCGAGGAGCTTTGCGCGATATTCAGCAAACAAACAATCCAAGTAATTCTAACTGTCATGCTGAATCTTTGCATGGAGAAGACCATCCCTTTTACCTCATCCTTTCCTCAGGTAAGATGTTATTGTGTTTATGATATTGTCTGATTCAGTTGGTTATACATCCAGTGCCTGTGATCGCAGACATTCTTCAGCTAACTGTCGAAAGCCCAAAGCCTCATCACTTGCTTCAACCTTTTTATTTCTACATTGACCTCAGAAGCAGCTTCTGTGTTTTGTGTGAAAACAGATCTATATCAGTTGCAAAAAGCTTTTACGATTCTCACATAATCCCATATAAAAAGAATCCGCATATTGGTAAATACCATATTCAGTAACTTCCACTGTTTTATCCTGCCAGATACTGTTTCTAACACCATATGTATTTTTGTGACAAGATATGAGAAATTGGATTTCTCTGTACAATGCTTCACATATTCCTTCTGTAGAAAAAATGGTATCTTGTTTTCATGTCTATTTCGTGAAGAAGAGCAAATGCACCCCCAGATACGCTATCCATAATAAACACGTAACGTGTTTATATTCAGGTGTCAGTGTTTTCAAGATCAATTTGAAATATGTAATGAGTAATTGTTGCATCATTGCTTTACCCAGCAGCAACACATGGACTAACGTAATGTACCCAACACTTTTTACAACCACCAGTCGTTAGACAAGTTATTGCTGCTTGTGCGTACTGTAAAACATGTTTATGTATATACATATATACATAATTAAAACTAGTACGGCAACGCCCTCTGCTAAATGGTGCCGTATAAGAGTACAATTTAAATGTAAGCTCTTGGTGGCTGATATATATATATAGAAACAAGCTTACTCGCCAATGCAGGTTGTGTTGAGTGAATTGCTCTGTTTCAGTAAAAATGTAACTTGTAAGCTTGTGTTGGGCAAGTCATTACAGATTTTAATGAATAGAACGGGTTTGCCCAAACCTTATACGAGTGTTCCTGAAAGATGGAATCCTGGAATACCAGTCATCAGGTTCGCCTGAGGATGCACCAGAAGTGTAATGTGGAATAGAAGCGTAGTTTAACTCATAACTGTCATTTTCACTGTCATCTGGAGGAAGGCATTGTCAAGCACACTACGTTTAGAATAATAGTATTTTTAAAAGCATTTGGTACAAATGACACCATCTTCGGTAGTGGTTTTCTTCTATTTTTTCAAGGTATTTTCTTAGCTTGTCATTATGATTCTTATATTCATTTTCTCTCATTAGAACCACACTTCACATGATTTTCGACAAAGCTGTAGCATAACTCATTAACATTATTTCAGTATCGGCTTTGTAAGTCACTCAGTACGCGATGTGGCAAAATATTATTGATACCATACGTATAAAAGTGGATCAGTTTAATTGACTAACGTATTGTCTTATCTGTAACCATGCGATTGGCTCTACTGAGCGAGTTGCGACTTCATTGGCCGGTGCGTAGGGTGCACATAAGAGTGGTGTAGATTTACCCACCTGGTACCTTGTACATGTTGTACATTTGTATCACAAAATTAAGATTTAAAATTTCGAAATACAACGAAACAATAAAAAATAGTCTTGAAACTTTAGTATAAACGATAGCTTTTTTATGGAAAACTGCCAGCGATAAAAAATGGACGCAAAGTAGGAAAAATGGCCCTAAACTAAGTAAAATTGCATAATTGAGTGTACATAAGAAATGATACACATAGAAAAATAAGGATGTGACAGTAGACAAATTCATTTCTGCAAATACATCCTGTGATAATTCCATTACAAGTAAAACAACTTTCATATTAAACACAAATATTCATGGTAAAGATGATTTTTTTAACTTTGTTAATTTTGGGCTTAATTTTCGATATAATTCGATGAATAATATAAGTATTTTCAAAAGTTAATTTACTAATAAGTATAATTATTGAGCAGATTTAAAATAAATGCATGATATAATAGTATGAAATAATCCTAGACAAAATTCTTTTCAGTACATTTTCTACCACCTGGAATATTCTTTTCACTGTTGTTCGACTCAGTTATTTAGATTCGAACTTCGTGTAGAATAATGTAGATTTATTTGGTATGTGCGATAAAATGTGATGGGCATTGTACTGTCCTTAAGTGTAACTATTAATGATTCAGCCCCCCCCC